CTCTGGTGCACACTCCCTGGTGTGTAAATCCTGGGTCAACACAGGATCAGAGTCGTACCGCAGGAAGAGAGAGAACGTAAGAATTAAGAAAGGGAGAGAGTGGGAACGAGGGCCGTGGCGAAGCGCCTTCCAAGTCAAATCAGCACCATGTGTCCCTCCAGAGCCATATTATCCCAGAAATGGACTTTATTGAGGCAACAAAGTGTTTTGGAACTCTGCAAAAACATTAGAGGGCTTGGCCGAGGGCTGGGAGGAGGGGAGTGCAGGGGCCTCTCGGGGGATCAATGAGAAGAGAGGGGGGGGGCAGGGGCCCCTGGGTCTGTGTACAGTGGCCCCCACTGCAGCCTGGCAGGCTAATGGCCTATTACTGACAGATGTGGTCGGCAATCCCAGAGAGGAAGCAGAGATGGCAGCAGCAACCTCTAGACTGACCTGACCACAGGGGTTAGGGAGGGTAGGAGGGAGGAAGAGGGGAGGAGAGAGGAAGAAGGGAATAAGGAGGGTGGGAGATGGAGTGATAGGTAGATTGATAGAGAGAGGTGGAGGTTGGGTGAGAGAGAGAGAGAGGAAGAGAGAGACCAGGGCAGAGGGAGTGGAGCCAAAAGCGATGGAAACTATTTGTATGACATGTGGATGGCCCTTGCAGCCACGGTCGGCGTGTAATAATAAAGTGCAGCTCTGCTCTGAATCATGGTGGGAGAAGGGAGGGAGAGTTAGTGGGGTGGCAACTACTGAGTGAGGTAACAAACCACAGGAAAGCCCAATGGAGGGTGTGTATGCGTGTCAGCATCCCTTTACAAGTGTTCAGTTTGAACAAGGGACAGGAGGGGAGGAGAAGGGGAAGGGGTGGAGGGGAGGGGAAGGAGAAGGGGAAGGGGTGGAGGAGAAGGGGAAGGGGTGGAGGGGAGGAGAAGGGGTGGAGGGGAGGAGAAGGGGTGGAGGGGAGGGGAAGGGGTGGAGGTGAGGGGGGGGGGGTTAAACGACATCACAGCACTGTGATCCTTATGGGATGATGAATGTTTGAAGGGGGAAAGGAGTGTGTGTTTGGGGAGGGCAGCTGGTTCTGGTTAGGGCCCTGGAAATGAGATTAAAGGGAAATCTCCAAACAGATTGAATTGTATTTGCCATAATTGCTGAGAACAGCTCATTCAGAGCAGACCGCAAATAATAGAGCAATAAAACCATGGGGAAAAGGTCTGCCATGTGAAACCAGTCTGTCTCCTGCAGCAAAGGTCTGCCATGTGAAACCAGTCTGTCTCCTGCAGCAATCAAGCCTCAAGTCTTGTATCAGTTAAAAGGTGCGTGTGAGTGGGGCGGGGTAAGGATGCATCTACTCTACATTCTAACACATTCTACAGTGTGTACTGTACTGCCAGAAGACCATCTCCTACTGAAGCCGTTTGATCTCATTATATTCAGACTTACCATTTCTAAACCACCTCAACCATATTGTACTGGACGAACCTGAGGCTTACAATCAGAACCCCAGATAACCTAGACTTCCAACCCTAACCTGTACATCATTCCAAATAGGAATGTTACTCTCTAGGGAGATGTTCTGGATCTCTTTGCAACTCCAACTTTAGAGCTTTGAAGAAAAACGAAACGTTGGAAAGAAGAGAACAAATCCGTCCAGGGCTACAAGATAAAAGTGAGCGCTGTATGAGGCTCTCTCCCTCTCATTCCAGGGTTGATTGTGTTTAAAGTGAAACCACATGAACTGTACTGCTCCCACTCAGAGAGAGAGAGAGAGAGAGAGAGAGAGAGAGAAGGAGAGAGAAGGAGAGAGAGAGAGATGCAGTACCAGAGGAAACAGGCAGACAGGACAGCATTACCATACCGACTATAACATGGTGAAACTCAACACTCATCTGTTACCCACTACACAGCTGGTTGATTCCCACTATAGGACCGACCCCAACCACACAGCTGGCTGATTCCCACTATAGGACCGACCCCAACCACACAGTTGGCTGATTCCCACTATAGGACCGACCCCAACCACACAGCTGGTTGATTCCCACTATAGGACCGACCCCAACCACACAGCTGGCTGATTCCCACTATAGGACCGACCCCAACCACACAGCTGGCTGATTCCCACTATAGGACCGACCCCAACCACACAGCTGGCTGATTCCCACTATAGGACCGACCCCAACCACACAGCTGTCTGATTCCCACTATAGGACCGACCCCAACCACACAGCTGGCTGATTCCCACTATAGGACCGACCCCAACCACACAGCTGGCTGATTCCCACTATAGGACCGACCCCAACCACACAGCTGGCTGATTCCCACTATAGGACCGACCCCAACCACACAGCTGGCTGATTCCCACTATAGAGCCGACCCCAACCACACATCTGGCTGATTCCCACTATAGGGCCGACCCCAACCGTAATGTGCTGGCTGATTCCCACTATAGGGCCGACCCCAACCGTAATGTGCTGGTTGATTGCCACTATAGGGCCGACCCCAACCGTAATGTGCTGGCTGATTCCCACTATAGGGCCGACCCCAACCGGAATGTGCTGGCTCGAAATCATTACATTACCATCACCAGGTATATTGAAGCATCGTATTCTCAGTCTTCATTTTGTGTGGAGTAAGGAAATCAACAACACAGTTCTCTAAGTTAAGCACTTTTATTTACGTTTTTTAACACTAATTCACAAACAAAAATACATCCTTGCAAGAAAAAAATAAAACAACCCATTTCAACAGATTGGTCTAGATTTTAAATAACTGGATTTAACTTGTAAATTCTATTATTGGAGAGAGATATTTATTACATGATCCTCAAATAAAAATAAATCAAATTTCCAATGAATCTGTTTATGTTAATTTCAAAATGAAATTTCAGAAATCACATTTTAGTAACTTGATCATTGTTGTATAGCAGTTAGTATATAGAGGATTTAGTATGAAACGGCTGAATTATACATTTCAATATGCTTGGCAAAGCATGTTAGGCAAAAGACAAAAGCATCACTGAGCTTCTTCATACTGTTCCGCTAAGCCTTGTGTGTCCGAAACCACACCCTTTTCCCTACAACTTAGTGCACTACTGTAGACCTCCTGGTCAAAACAGTACACTGTGTAGTGAATAGCGTGCCATTTCAGACGCAACCTTAGACTTCTCAATCCATATAAATAGAGGGATTCATAGTATCCCTACAAAATGGCATCCTAACTGTTACCCTAAAGAAGGGTGTTTCTACCTTTCTACTCCAGACCTGCTGAATTTCATTGTTACACCTACGTTGTTTATTAATCAAAGTAGTACAAAGCCATGAAAAAAATATTATCAGTGTAAAGGCACAGGAGACTTGCTTGACTCTCACGGACACCACTCAAAATGAACCACGACAAGTCCCAAAAAAAATAGCTAGTCAAATGAATACATCAGCCAACTTGGCCTGCCAAGTCTTGCCACTAGAGGGCACTCTTGCTCCAGCAACAGGAGATGCTGCACTGCAAACACTAGGACACAGCCAAGGCCCGGTCTAGAACCCCTGTCCACAACTCCCAGCTTCTACCCCTCTGTGTTTTTGCAGATCTGAACGGGGACTGGACAGGTGTAAGCCAAGTCATCTACGTGTAGGCTGCCCTGATAGCCACTGTCTTACACCTATCCTGTTCCTTTAGATCTGTGACCACCATAATGATAGGGGCTAAGGTTCGTTTTAGGATTGGGCTACAGTGTTGTTCGCCATACAGTCCTTGACTCAAATCCAGCATTGCCCCTTGCAGAGCCCCACATACACCTTGCTGTGTGGGGTCTATGACTTAAAAGAGACTGCTTGAGGAGTGTACAATTCAGTGAAACGCATCAAGACGTTAGTTTGGACCTTTAGGGAAACAGTCGCTGTGCCCCAATGCCCCAAGATGGGGGAGTCCAGCTCCCAAACTGAATGAATGGGTAACTTTAGGGGTTTCTGGTTTGAAATGACCAGGGCGTGGTTCTAGAATTCACCACAGAACCTGAAAAGATGAAGACGAAAGACGTGAGGGAGTCGATCGCCACGGGGGAATGTGAGTTAACAGCGGTCTTTTGCTGCTTGTGTTTTCAGATCCATTTCACTGCTGCGACGTCAGGAGGATAATCTAACCGGTGGCCTGATCACCCCACCACAACTCCTACATAACACCCTATATTATGCTAAACTCATATAGTCCGAGAGGAGATTTGCATTCATTCCGTATAAGAAGAGTTTTCTTACTGAGACTTGCCAGCTAGGCATTGAATATCCTGTTTCATGGAGCCTTAAAGTAGAGTCGGGAAGAGACAGGCCTGCATAGGTAGTTCATCATGCTAATGTTTTCAAAGGACATTAGTACATTCTACTGGTCAGCAGCTACAGTATCCCACCATGAATCAAAGAGCTTAAGCCAGATACTGAGTCGTCACCTATGCTGAGGTTTATCCACCTAGCTAAAGGACAACACAGCATCTACCCTTACCCTCCATCTACTGTATATCTACCCTTACCCTCCATCTACTGTATATCTACCCTTACCCTCCATCTACTGTATATCTACCCTTACCCTCCATCTACTGTATATCTACCCTTACCCTCCATCTACTGTATATCTACCCTTACCCTCCATCTATACTACTACCTACTAGTATCTACCCTTACCCTCCATCTACTGTATATCTACCCTTACCCTCCATCTACTGTATATCTACCCTTACCCTCCATCTACTGTATATCTACACCCTACTACTGTATACTACCCTACCTCATCTACTGTATATCTACCCTTACCCTCCATCTACTGTATATCTACCTCTACCCTCCATCTACTGTATATCTACCCTACCCTCCATCTACTGTATACTACCCCTCTACTTAACCCTCCTCTACTGTATTCTATCCTAACCCTTACCCTCCATCTACTTATATCTACCTTACCCTCCATCTACTGTATATCTACCCTCCATCTACTGTATATCTACCCTTACCCTCCATCTACTGTATATCTACCCTTACCCTCCATCTACTGTATATCTATGTCCACCCACAACACTTGGTCTTAGTTCTGTTGAAACACACAAAACAAATCTAGGCATATAGGGAGGGTTATGTATGAATACTAAGATGGATCTCTTCCCACACCCAACACACACAATCTGAACACACACGGGCACACACTCGCCAGGCGCCCACAGGGGCCACAGCGGGGGTGCTCCGTAGCTAGGGCTGTGTGAATGGTGGATTTGAGTCAGCGGATAGTGTTTTGTTGTTGCTGAATGGACTTTTAGCAGACAAACTCCTGTCTCATGCGGATGATCTGCAGCAGGGCGGCTTGGACGTCCTCATCCATGTGACCCTGGGAGAAACAACAATAACAATGGGCTTGAGATGATCCACTTGTCCCGTATTTCACAGTTATGGCAGCAGTGTGGGCTAAGGGCCAGTCCAGTCTTACTGCTGTCGTCAGCAGTGTGGGCTATGGGCCAGTCTTACTGGTGTCGTCAGCAGTGTGGGCTATGGGCCAGTCTTACTGCTGTCGTCAGCAGTGTGGGCTATGGGCCAGTCTTACTGGTGTCGTCAGCAGTGTGGGCTATGGGCCAGTCTTACTGCTGTCGTCAGCAGTGTGGGCTATGGGCCAGTCTTACTGGTGTCGTCAGCAGTGTGGGCTATGGGCCAGTCTTACTGCTGTCGTCAGCAGTGTGGGCTATGGGCCAGTCTTACTGGTGTCGTCAGCAGTGTGGGCTATGGGCCAGTCTTACTGGTGTCGTCAGCAGTGTGGGCTATGGGCCAGTCTTACTGGTGTCGTCAGCAGTGTGGGCTATGGGCCAGTCTTACTGGTGTCGTCAGCAGTGTGGGCTATGGGCCAGTCTTACTGGTGTCGTCAGCAGTGTGGGCTATGGGCCAGTCTTACTGGTGTCGTCAGCAGTGTGGGCTATGGGCCAGTCTTACTGGTGTCGTCAGCAGTGTGGGCTATGGGCCAGTCTTACTGCTGTCGTCAGCAGTGTGGGCTATGGGCCAGTCTTACTGGTGTCGTCAGCAGTGTGGGCTATGGGCCAGTCTTACTGGCTGTCGTCAGCAGTGTGGGCTATGGGCCAGTCTTACTGGTGTCGTCAGCAGTGTGGGCTATGGGCCAGTCTTACTGGTGTCGTCAGCAGTGTGGGCTATGGGCCAGTCTTACTGGTGTCGTCAGCAGTGTGGGCTATGGGCCAGTCTTACTGGTGTCGTCAGCAGTGTGGGCTATGGGCCAGTCTTACTGGTGTCGTCAGCAGTGTGGGCTATGGGCCAGTCTTACTGGTGTCGTCAGCAGTGTGGGCTATGGGCCAGTCTTACTGTGTCGTCAGCAGTGTGGGCTATGGCCAGTCTTACTGGTGTCGTCAGCAGTGTGGGCTATGGCCATCTTACTGGTGTCGTCAGCATTGGCTATGGGCCAGTCACTTTGATGTAACCACAGCAGCACATTTATATTAGTGTCTCACAGTGGTATGGCCGTCTACAGTTACAGTTACATATTAGCTATGGCCATACTATACTTGTTTTGTCTCAGCATTTAGGCACAAAATGTCAAAATCCACCTTTTTATTTTTACTTAACTAGAAAACACACACCACGACATATCAATATATATTTATTTTTTTGTCTTCAGGAAGTTCCTGGGCAACAAAAGTGCAAGAGATGCCAGGGGGGCCTGTGTGTTATATTTTACTTTAACTAGAAAGAAATCACACACACTGACATATCCACACAAACTGACCTGTGCTGCACTGAGGAGATGAGTTCTATAGATTGAAACCACCTCTCTGTGTTGACTCTCAGCATCCTGTGAGAAGAGAGGGAAAGAGAGAGAGACGTGATGAGTACAGGCCCACTTTGTGCTGACCTGGCTCCACCTTATCACGCACCTCAGAAATACGCCCGTTTCTTACAGCAAAATAGATGGCATCCATATTTTCCTGAAGTTTTGCCAACCTCGAACGAAAGAGCCAAGAGCGCGAGCTCCAAATCAACATGTGGACCCGGCCGTGGGTTCCATTCAGAGCATGAGTAATGACGTTTTCAGGATTCTAAGATGCGTCTCGGCCTCTGGATCTCATTTTCTTTTCGTCTGGGTTCTGGCTAGCCGCTACACCAGTTCATTCTCTGCCTCCATCATTTTAAAAGGCTCAAAGTGAAGACAGAGAAGAAGACGGATGCCGTCGTTGAAAATCAGGTGCACAGACGTTTGTTTTGTTCAGCCTCGCATAGTTTCCAGCTCAGGGGCAAATCGGCTGTAATACCACACCGAGAGTGTTACTGTAATTATACGACTGACTAATAGTATTTTGTATGCACTGTAAGAGCATTGACACAGATTTTCTGACGTACTGATATAGCCACAGGGAATGGGTTCATTTCCAATAATGTGGGAGGAGGATCAATCATGTCTGGACCAAACCTCTATGTTATCAAGGTAATTAACAAATGATGATGACATCCCATAATCGGTAACTAACGGTGGACTGAAAAAAGCTTTCGTCCCTACTAAAGAGACCCATTATGTTTAGATGCAGAGAGTACTGAGTGAATGATTATGGCGTTAGGGCAGCATATTGACATGACACCATGAGTATAAATGGCAATACAATTAAGTATGAATGTCACTATGTAGGCAAGTAAACGGTTACAGCTTCACACTCTAAGGGACCACAACAGAAATAAGTCATTGACTTTGTGTCATCCCTGACGAGTTTTCAAATGTACAGGTATGTTCTGTGTGTATGTATTTTTTAAACTGTCAAATAAAGGGCAATGTCACAGAAACGCTAGGTTAGCTCCAACTGGCTACCAACCACTACATCTGCAGTGTGTGTGTGTGTGTGTGTACAGTGAGGGGAAAAAAGTATTTGATCCCCTGCTGATTTTGTACGTTTGCACACTGACAAAGACATGATCAGTCTATAATTTTAATGGTAGGTTTATTTGAACAGTGAGAGACAGAATAACAACAACAAAAATCCAGAAAACGCATGTCAAAAATGTTAAATTGATTTGCATTTTAATGAGGGAAATAAGTATTTGACCCCTCTGCAAAACATGACTTAGTACTTGGTGGCAAAACCCTTGTTGGCAATGACAGAGGTCAGACGTTTCTTGTAGTTGGCCACCAGGTTTTCACACATCTCAGGAGGGATTTTGTCCCACTCCTCTTTGCAGATCTTCTCCAAGTCATTAAGGTTTCGAGCCAGACGTTTGGCAACTCGAACCTTCAGCCCCCTCCACAGATATTCTATGGGATGAAGGTCTGGAGACTGGCTAGGCCACTCCAGGACCTTAATGTGCTTCTTCTTGAGCCACTCCTTTGTTGCCTTGGCCGTGTGTTTTGGGTCATTGTCATGCTGGAATACCCATCCACAACTAATTTTCAATGCCCTGGCTGAGGGAAGGAGGTTCTCACCCAAGATTTGATGGTACATGGCCCCGTCCATCGTCCCTTTGATGCAGTGAAGTTGTCATGTCCCCTTAGCAGAAAAACACCCCCAAAGCATAATGTTTCCACCTCCATGTTTGACGGTGGGGATGGTGTTCTTGGGGTCATAGGCAGCATTCCTCCTCCTCCAAACACGGCGAGTTGAGTTGATGCCAAAGAGCTCGATTTTGGTCTCATCTGACCACAACACTTTCACCCAGTTCTCCTCTGAATCATTCAGATGTTCATTGGCAAACTTCAGACGGGCCTGTATATGTGCTTTCTTGAGCAGGGGGACCTTGCGAGCGCTGCAAGATTTCAGTCTTTCACGGCATAGTGTGTTACTAATTATTTTCTTGGTGACTATGGTCCCAGCTGCCTTGAGATCATTGACAAGATCCTCCCGTGTAGTTCTGGGCTGATTCCTCACCGTTCTCATGATCATTGCAACTCTTGCAAGATCTTGCATGGAGCCCCAGGCCGAGGGAGATTGACAGTTATTTTGTGTTTCTTCCATTTGCGAATAAACGCACCAACTGTTGTCACCTTCTCACCAAGCTGCTTGGCGATGGTCTTGTAGCCCATTCCAGCCTTGTGTAGGTCTACAATCTTGTCCCTGACATCCTTGGAGAGCTCTTTGGTCTTGGCCATGGTGGACAGTTTGGAATCTGATTGATTGATTGCTTCTGTGGACAGGTGTCTTTTATACAGGTAACAAGCTGAGATTAGGAGCACTCCCTTTAAGAGTGTGCTCCTAATCTCAGCTCGTTACCTGTATAAAAGACACCTGGGAGCCAGAAATCTTTTGATTGATTGAGAGGGGGTCAAATACTTATTTCCCTCATTAAAATGCAAATCAATTTATAACATTTTTGACATGCGTTTTTCTGGATTTTTCTGTTGTTATTCTGTCTCTCACTGTTCAAATAAAACTACCATTAAAATTATAGACTGATCATTTCTTTGTCAGTGGGCAAACATACAAAATCAGCAGGGGATCAAATACTTTTTTCCCTCACTGTATATGTGTGTGTGTGTGAGAGAGAGTGAGTGTGTACACTCACAGCCAGCTGCTGCTGCAGGCTCTTGATCTGGGCCTGGAGTGTGTCGACGTGCTGCATCTGTCTCTTATTGGGCGCGGCGTTGCTGGCGTATGCCAGCTGGGACAGACCATTCAGGGCCTGCTTCAGTCTCTCCACGTCTGTCAACAGCTCGGTGATCTGAAACACACACAAAGCTGTTAGCACCAGAATATACATAACCATCTACATATTTAGAAAACCTCATATCAAAGTACCAAAGTATTGCCAGAAAAACTAAAAACGGAGAAATTGAGATCTTACCAAATGTAATTACTACCGTACTTTTACCACATACATTTAGGTTGATTTTATTTATATTAAATGGCCAACAATTCAATGCTGAATATTTCTCCTACCTTCTTGTCTTTGACCTCAGTCTGCTCCGCCGACATCTGGATCCTCCTCTGGAACTCCCCGATGGTGCTGAGCGACTCCTCATACCTCTCCTTCAGCTCCCGGATCTCCCTATCCATGGCGTCGCTCTTCTCCTGCAGGGCCTCAGTTTCCACCCTGGCCCCGGCCTTGTCCTCCCTGGCCTGGGCCACCTCACGGTGGAGCACCTCGCACTGCTCCGCCAGCGCAGATAACCTCTCGCCCAGCGCCACCGTCTCATCCTCCAGACGTTGCTTCTCGGCATTCAGCTGGCTCAACTGGTCCTCTCTTCCTCCGAGTTCCTCCAGGGCCTGGGTGGCCTGGAGCAGTTCCAACTGCAGGGCTGCCACGTTCTTGGCCCTCTGGGCGCTGGTCTCCTGCTCCTGGCGAAGGGAAGCGAGTAGCTGCGCCACCTGCCCCTCCAGGGCCTCCTTGGCCTGGGCATGCTGCTGCAGGAGGACGGCCTGGTCCCCGGAGCATCCCTGGAGCTCCTTCTCCAAGGCGCAGGCCTTCTGGGCCTCTCCACGCTGGGCCTCCCTGGCTTTCTGGCACTGGTCCTGGGCTTGGTGGATGGTGCCCCTCAGGGCTCGGTGCTCGGCCTCGTAGTGTTCCAGCCGGGCCGACTCGGATTCCAGGCGCTGCTGCAGGCTCTGGATGTCAGTGTTACACAGGGCGTTCTGCTCCTCCAGTTCTGCCCTCTGCACAGTGACATCTTTGTACTGCTGCTCCAGGTCCACCAACCTCAGACTCAGCTCCTCCATTTTACCCCTATATTCATCTTCCACCTCCTTGTGCTTTTCACTGGCGACAAAGCCGGTCTCCATTCTCTGCTGCACAGACTCCATCTGCACTTTCAGTTTCTCTTTCTCCTGCTTGTGACGTTCCCCCTCCGACTTCTCCTGGTTGTACTTCTCTTGCATCTCCGAGAGCTTTCCTGTCAAGTCTTTTAGCTTGGTGTTGTAGGAGTTCTCTCTCTCCTCTATGGCGGTCAACGGGACAAACTTGGACTGGATAGCTTCCTGGATGGTGTCTAGTTCTTTCTTCTGCGCCTCCATTTCTTGGTGAAGCTTTACTGTCTCATCTTGGGCAGACTGGTAGCTTGCTAACGCCTCTTTTGCCCGACACTCCGCCTCAACAACAGCATTGCTCAACTTAACCCTTATAGCTTCATGGTCTATAAGGCACACATAGTCATTTTCTATCATCACCTGAACATTCTCCAGCTTCTCTTTCAACTCTGCACTACCCTCTTTCACCTTCTGCAACTCTTCCTCACTTTCTCTGCCCTCCTTCTCCAGTTTGGAGAGCTCAGCCTTGGCCTTCTCCAAAGCATTACTCAGCTCCGTATTCACTTGCTCGTGTTTCTCTCTGGACACATACTCTCCATTTAGGCTCTGTTTCAGAGACTGGTTCTTGGCGGTGACCTGGCCCAGCTCCTTCTCTCGCTCTTCAAACCTCTTCTGGAGCACTTCCAGTTCCTTCACCAGTTCAGCGTTGCGAGCATTCAGGGCTCCCACTTCGCTCTGGAACTTCTCGGAGGGCACGGTAGCGCTCTGCAGGCTGGTGACGCTCTCACACAGGGTGACCCTCTCCGTTTGCAGCCTCTGGATCTGCACCTCGGCCTGGCCGTTCCTCTCTGCGGCCTCCACCAGCCTCTCCTCCAGTTCCTCCACAGCTCTCTCCAGGGCGCTCTTGGCCTCTTCGTGGTCCTTGAGGGGGATGAAGTTGGCCTCCACCCTGCTGTTGAGCTCCTCCAGCTGCTCCTGGAGAGTCTCCCGCTCCTCCTCGCTCTCCTCTACCTGGCGGATCAGCGCCTGGCTCTTGGCAGTTACGTCCGCCAGCCTCCTCTTCAGGGAGGAACTCTGTTCCTCCAGGGTCGTCCTCATCCTCTCATGCTCCTGCAGGGGGATCGCTCCTGTCCCGGCCTGGGCTGGCTGGTTGTCCATTTCCCTGTGTAGCTCAGCCACCTCCTCCAGCATGCGGTCGTAGTCCTCCCGCAGCTCTGCCAGCTGACGCTCCTTCTCATCCACTGCATTGCTCAGCAGGTTCTTCATGTTGTCGAACTTCTCTGCCGGCACAACCTTCTGTGCCTGGGTCTCCTTGATGAGGGCCTCCATGTCCAGCAGAGCCCCTGCCAGCTCGTCCCTCTCCTCCCGCAAGGCTTTCAGCTCCTGGCCCAGACGCTCTGCCTCCACTGCCAGCTGGCCCTCGCTGCTCTTGTACTCCTCCAGGGCCTTCTCACTCTGCTTCAGGTGGTTACGCACGCGCCCCACCTCGGCCGAGGCGCCCTCGTACTTGGCCTTGACATCGTGGAGCTGGGCGCGGAGCTCGTCGGCCGCCTGGCCTCCTAGGTGCTCCTTGACCGCCACCACGTGGGCCTGGAGCTGCTTGACCTTGGCTTCAGAGTCCAGCATCCTCTTCTGAACGTCCCCCAGGGCCTCCTCCAGCTCCTGGACCTGTCGGTCCGCCTGCCGCTGGATAGTCTCCCGGCTCTGGGCCAGCTCTTGGCACTCCTGGCTCTTGCGTGCCAGCGCCGCCTGCAGGCGGAGGGCCTCCTCCTCGGCAGTCTGCTGCCGCCTCCTCACAGTCTCCAACTCGCGCCGCAGGGCCTCCACCTCCTCGACTGGGTCCCAGGTCACGCCAGGATGCCCCCCAAGCTCCAGGGGACGGGACAGTGAGTGCGACAGACCGGACGACTGCAGCACCTACAGCAGGAAGAAAAGTTTCACGTGTGTGGATTGATTTGTTCAATTTACACACACACACACACACACACACACACACTTCACACACCCATTTCTCACAGCAGTGTCAGTTCAATATTGGTTTTGCAGTCAGAGCTGACTTGAAAAAAAAGTCAGTTCCACTATAGCGACACGAGAGAGAATACTGAGAGGATGTGAAGGCTACAATATGAGAAAAAAATATCAATTTCAAAGTTGAGCCCAAACTGTAAAAAAAATACCTGCAGCGGTTTAAGAGAATAAATCATAGATCTTTCATTTGCTGAGGGGCAGACAGCTGACCGTACGAAATGAGAACTAAATCGGTTATTTGGCTGTCAGAGAGCTGATAAGCTCATGGTGGCTGACTGGACTAGAATACACAGCAGATATGGTCTGTGAGTTTAATACTGTATGACGGTTTTCTTGTCATTGCGGACCATAATGCTCCAGAAAAAAACGAGGAAGTCTGGTTTACCTGCGCTGAATCCAGGCTGTGAGATTGTTTGACGAGGAAGTTGTCTTTTCCTGCCAGAACAAATAGAGATGATTCAGAAGATGTCTTTTTTATTTCCAAGTCCTCCAATTGTATGTCCTGTTCTTTGATATCTCAAAATTAAAGAGAGCTCCCTCACCTTTAATAACCGACTGGCCAGAGTAGTCCCCCTGAAAACACATAACATACGGTATGTTCACATAACCTTAGACAACCTAAGAGGAACTCTTATTATTATTATTATTATTATTATGATGATGATGTAAAACCCCATGATGAGTTCATATGCTGTAACAGGGTTGGCATTTGGCAGTGGTCCCTCACCATGTGGCTCCTGAGCTGAACCTTGACAGTCTCCGGGGCCCGAGCCCCCTCCTCCCGGTCTTTGGCACTCAGTAAGAGCTTCAGCTGTTCCCTCTGACGCAGCACAAACACAACGTGGAGCTTTAGAGCAGATCAACAGCTTTGCAACTTTAGTTGCATTTGAGGACAATAACTTTCAGATGAATAGAGCCATGGCACGGTATCCAATCGACTAGTTCGACATTCACACTGCACTCAAAACACCCACAAACAAACAGGGATGCTAATTCATCTCTCTAATCTATAGGTGAAACCTTCCATCTTTTCTTCCCACCCCAAGCAATGGAGTTCTGGCTGTCCTTACCTCTTTATGGATGCTTTCCACAGTATGCTTTTCCTGCGGGGGAGATATAGAGAATTACAAAGTTAAGTATCAGAGGGTTTGATAAACAACTCATTACCATATAGAGTACCTGTCACCGGCCAAGTCCTTATGTTTTTCTTGAAGCACAAACTGTTTGATTCCCTTCTCAGTGACCTTCCGTGTTAGTCTAGAAGTTGTCTACACTACTTTCTCTCTGTGAGTGTGAGTGTGAGTCTGTGTGAGTGTGAGTGTGAGTGTGAGTGTGTGTGTGTGTGTGTGTGTGTGTGTGTGTCTGAGTGTGGTGTGTGTGTGAGTGTGTGTGTGTCTGAGTGTGTGTGTGATCTGTGTGTGTGTGTGTGTGTGTGTGTGTGTGTGTGTGTGTGTGTGTGTGTGTGTGTGTGTGTGTGTGTGTGTGTGTGTGTGTGTGTGTGTGTGTGTGTGAGTGTGAGTCTGTGTGTGTGTGTGTGTGTGTGTGTGTGTGTGTGTGTACACCTGACTGAGCTGCTGCTGCAGTAGGGTAACCTTGTCCATCAGAGCCCTCTGCTCCAGGTGAAACTTCCTCAGAGTCTCCTGCTGGCTCTCATTCTGTCTCTCCAGGTCCTGACAAACGTCACACCATTAGAAGTCACAATCCAAATCAAATCACACAAATCTAAGTAAGCCTTCCCCTGAGCCAGAACAGCCCATAGGGAAGGATCCTACCAAATGTTTCTGTAGCATGAGATTAGCTTGAAGTACAAGTATACCCCCTGGGCAGGATGCTAGTCTGTCCCATGGTCTTAAGGCGTGAGCATGCTTCAGTTCGGCCGAACTTGGCTACCCTAACCGAACGAGTGTGCTCGGACACTCCCTTAAAAAAGACCTTCGGTGGCCTCCCGAGTAGTGCAGCGGTCTAAGGCACTGCATCGGGATGTCCATGTCCCATCGCGCTCTAGCGACTCCTTGTGGCAGGCCGGGCGCCTGCAAGCTGACTTTGGTCGCCAGTTGTACTGTGTTTCCTCCGACACATTGGTGCGGCTGGCTTCCGGGTTAAGCGAGCAGTGTGTCAAGAAGCATGCGGCTTGGCAGGTTTGTGTTTCGGAGGACGCATGACTCTCGAACTTCACCTCTCCCGAGTCCATACAGGAGTTGCAGCGATGGGACAAGACTAACTACCAATTGGATATCACGATATTGGGGAGAAAAATTGGTAAAAGTACAAAAAATAAAATACCTTTACATCTAACTAAGATGTTTGGTGCAGTATTTCAGTATTTCTCAATGAAAACGAGTCGTCTCTCGTTGAATGACAAAAACTTTATTGAAGAATCCCTACTGTTGACCAATCACCGACGAAGGAGCGTAGATTTCGTCTCCGAACTTCGGCTTGCCTCTAGAAAACAATTAGTGTGCCCGAACAGTTGGAAAAAACCCTTACCGAATTTCAAAACTAACAAACGTCACAAAATGTCATCATAATATATGCACAAACTCTTCCGAACTCTTCCGAACTGGGAAGCATGCGGACGCCTTTACCCCAATCCATCTCCTTAATGTTGAGTGCCAAGCAGAGCGGCATCATGTCCCATTTTTAGAGTCTTTGGTATGACTTGACCGGGGATCGAACCCCCAACCTTCCAATCTCAGGTGGACAGTAACCGCTGAGTTGGAAACACACATCTATAGATCTGTTTAAATAGATCCAACATAAATTCACTAGTACCTTCACTTATCCTGGACATTGTAGAATCATGTCACGCTGATGCTCAGCCCAGCCTATAGATTCCCCTACATACTGCTGGGTATATCTCGCTTTAATAATTATAATAATATGCCATTTAGCAGACGCTTTTATCCAAAGCGACTTACAGTCATGTGCGCATAATTTTTTTAAACGTATGTATCCTCACATTCAGACCAGGTAATTACATCCCTGTCCATCACAAAGCACTATGAGGTCAAACTCAATGTAGAAAATAGCACTCACCCTCATGTTGGCTTCAGCCTGTTCAGTCATCTCTACTGAGTGCTGTGGAGACACAGGTTATCATTTAGCCATGACTGACCAGGGTGTGGGGGGTGGGGTGGGGTGGGGGGGGGGGGGGGGGGGGGGAGGAGGAGGGGGGGGGGGGGGGTGTTACTTGATGGCTAGTGGTAGCAGAGAGGAAGAGGTGTCCTTATATGCAGTTTCTCTGGCGGTAGTCACATTATGAAATGAACTGCGATTATCCATCTTGTCACTAGGTGGCAGTAATGTCCAACTGAATGTCGGAGCGTGAGTCACTTGGCCTCCATAGGAAACAGTGCAAAACATGACAACTCACTGTTTACCGTATGATAACACCCAATTAAGCAAACACCTTCAACACAACAGTGATTTTGATCTCTATTCAATATTAAATCAATGGAGTGGCGAATGTGGTCAGATTCAATAGAGCAGAAACTGAACTTTAGTGACATTTTGGTATCGGCTCGTTCAGAAGTCACAGATGCCCTCTATCGCTCCATGTTTACAGAACACATGACCCAGGAAGTGCCTTGATGGGGAAGTGTTAACAGAATCAATAAAAAAAAAAACATCCTATTTGCTTGATGGTGGTCACGTCAAACCTTTGGTAAGCCTATCAGGTAAGCCTATGAGCCGGCTCACCTTTTCAACAATGGATTCACCCAGAGGAAATAACAGTTGAAATGTCAAGCCATTACCATGCATCTGATGGTCTTAACCGCGCTCAATAACAACTACAGGCTAATCAACAGCTCAAAAAGGGAGGCATTACCCTAGGAGATCTTTTCTTTGGAGATATGTGTGGTTTATATTGGATAGTTAATATCCGTGCACAAAAATCAGTATGAAGGTTGGCAATTAAAGTGAGTGCTGCGTTGTTACCTGTCGCTTTTTCTGCTCCATCTTGGCAGCTTCTTTTGCTGTAGATACAATGAGAGAAACGACTACAGGGTCAGTTTACACACGTCAGAGCAGCACGTCACTCATATCGTTTTGGATTTCATCTATACAGTATGCGTTCTCATAACCAAGTCATTCAGGAGACTGAGTCAGTCTAAGGCACTGCATCGCAGTGCTAGCTGTGCCACTAGAGATCCTGGTTCGAATCCAAGCTCTGTCGTAGCCGGCCGCGACCGGGAGACCCATGGGGCGGCGCATAATTGGCCCAGCTTCGTCCAGGGTAGGGGAGGGAATGGCCGGCAGGGATGTAGCTCAGTTGGTAGAGCATGGCGTTTGCAACGCCAGGGTTGTGGGTTCAATTCCCACGGGGGGCCAGTATGAAAAATAAAATAATGTATTCACTCACTAACTGTAAGTCGCTCTGGATAAGAGCGTCTGCTAAATGATGTAAATGTAAATGTAAATGTAAGTGATACAAGGACAGTACTTTCACACTCAGGCACAAAGATTTTATGAAGAAAAAAAAAGAAAAAATTATACCACAGTAATGATGATTTAAAGGCTTGATGAGAAACCAATCTCAAATCAGCACTGAGCATGAAAACAAACAGGTGTTGGTGGGAGAATTCCGAAGAAGCCATCTAAAGCCGCTTCCCAGAAACCAAGGACATCAATTTGCCACAACAAGATAATTGTTAAGAAGGGTACAAATGGGTGATAGTGCACCAGATACTAGGAGAACAGACAATTCTAGTTTCTGAGAAATGTAGACTAAAGTACTATAGAATGGAATTTGATTAGGTGCAATTTACCTAGTGTTCTAGTTTAGTGGGCCCTTTACCTAGTGTTCTAGTTTAGTGGGCCCTTTACCTAGTGTTCTAGTTTAGTGGGCCCTTTACCTAGTGTTCTAGTTTAGTGGGCCCTTTACCTAGTGTTCTAGTTTAGTGGGCCCTTTACCTAGTGTTCTAGTTTAGTGGGCCCTTTACCCAGTGTTCTAGTTTAGTGGGCCCTTTACCTAGTGTTCTAGTTTAGTGGGCCCTTTACCTAGTGTTCTAGTTTAGTGGGCCCTTTACCTAGTGTTCTAGTTTAGTGGGCCCTTTACCTAGTGTTCTAGTTTAGTGGGCCCTTTACCTAGTGTTCTAGTTTAGTGGGCCCTTTACCTAGTGTTCTAGTTTAGTGGGCCCTTTACCTAGTGTTCTAGTTTAGTGGGCCCTTTGATAAAAGCATGGCTCTATACACAAAGTACATATGAAGGAGATGTGTTGGGACATTTTATTCGCTCTATTTCACATAGCCTTGATAAAAACCCACATTAAAACACTGCCATCACTCTGCAAAGCCGCACTCCACGCTGAATGAACAACCTTACTTTCCCTCTACAAGAAGAAAGCTGACACACTTGAACTCAGGTTACCTTCCCTAAAAGCACAATCCTACATTTTGCCTTTGCTGCACATTTTTTCCCAGTCCATTTCATTCTGTGTATAACTGTACTTTCTCTACGGCATGACTTTTTAACCCGGTGCTTTTCAATAGACATGTTATTTTTTTACTTATTCCTTGCTCTCTTTTTGATCTTCTGGTTGAATGGGTGTTTTTCGGCAGTCTCCTGTGGTTTCTGTATTTCCGAGGCACCGGCTGGGATACAGCCTACACAGCAGATAGAAACATCTCAGAACCTCTTAATTCTGGGCAAGCTGTTCCTGTCTCCCCCCTAGTGAGGCTAAGAAAACATCATTTGAAGGATAGAGAAAAACACGAAAACCTCTCTCTCCCTACCAGGCATGGACGGTGATTATAGTATTTGAAGTCGATTAACAGCGTTTCACAGTTTTTAACATTGCTGACAGTTAAATGTGGCCTCAGTTGTCCACAGGGCAGCCCTCACAGTGGGCGACAAGCATCTATTACTCATAATACTTGCAGCGTTTTTTTTTATTCCGAATTTCTAAATTTGTACAATGTACATTGCTGAAGAAAGTGGGGCCGGGTATTAATGGCTTAAAAAATGTGCTGAAATTCAAATCTCTCTATAACCTTCCTAACCCCTACTCCACTGAGCCATCAGAAGGCAAGTTGAAGCAATTACCATACTGCTTAAATCAGCCCGACCCTTTCAGATCTACAGGAGTGCCTAGGGCAAAGGTCCTAGGGGTCTATTCGGGACACAGCCATGCTCTGACCTTTGGTGACGTTGTCGAGGTATGTCTTGACAAGGCTGACCAACTCCTGGTTCTTGCTGTGGCGGGCGTAGTGGAAGCTGTCGTGACCAAAGCCGTCCACGGCTGTCACGTCAGCGCCGCTCTTCAGAAGGACCTCCACCGCGTCCTTACACGCATACTCACAGCCCAGGATCACAGCAGTCCTGGACACACACCACACCACAACACACACACACAGAGAGAGACAGACATGAATAATTGAATTGCATCCATAATGAAATGTATTGAAGAGTAGGCTTCAAGGCACAGGAAGTGTATGGAGGCCAGACAGATGCATCACTGACACATCAATACATACTGTAACTGAATAACAAGTGAAGCTTTGAATACATTTAATTTAGTAGCTAGGTGTGATGCTTTGTGGACCGGCTTACTTGTTCTGTTTGTCACGGATGGCGATGTCGGCCCCTCGCTCCAGCAGCAGCTGGCAGATGTGTGGATGGCACATCTGCGTAGCCAGCACCAGAGGAGTCCGCCCATCCTGCAGTGTTACACACACACACACACACACACACACACACAGAACAGAGCTAGTGATTCACGGCTCTGATGATTAGCTCCTTACTACAGTAGTCTGGTAAGGATAAACGTGCTGCAGCAGCTGCAACCTATATGTGATTAATAATTACAATGTATTGGAGTTGTTTTTGTTGTTGTAAAGCGTTACAAAGGACAGAATGTATGTGTGACTGCATGTTAATATTTGCTCACCACAATGGTATTCTCCTCACAAAACCCAACACTCGCATTGAACGTTTATTTTTATCCCAATCAAGACAGTGATAGATTTTCTGTTGAATTACTGCGCAATTCATTTTACTAAATAAAATGTAGACCTGTCTACAGGATCGACATATAGGTGGGAATGAATTGGACGTCAATACTCACAAAATCACTTGCGTTTACAGAGGCCCCGCTGTCACACAGTAGTTTGACGCTAGAGGAGCAGCCTGCCATCACTGGGACACACAAAGATAAAACATCATTATTTCACACCATCAAGCAGACGGACAGCCTGAAGAATTCCAGGTCCTTGCCATCAAAATGATGAGCATAGAGCTCAGTATCAGACTGGTATACTAATGAGCATAGAGCTCAGTATCAGACTGGTATAGTAATGAGCATAGAGCTCAGTATCAGACTGGTATACTAATGAGCATAGAGCTCAGTATCAGACTGGTATAGTAATGAGCATAGAGCTCAGTATCAGACTGGTATACTAATGAGCATAGAGCTCAGTATCAGACTGGTATAGTAATGAGCATAGAGCTCAGTATCAGACTGGTATAGTAATGAGCATAGAGCTCAGTTCAGTATCAGACTGGTATAGTAATGAGCATAGAGCTCAGTATCAGACTGGTATAGTAATGAGCATAGAGCTCAGTATCAGACTGGTATAGTAATGAGCATAGAGCTCAGTATCAGACTGGTATAGTAATGAGCATAGAGCTCAGTATCAGACTGGTATAGTAATGAGCATAGAGCTCAGTATCAGACTGGTATACTAATGAGCATAGACTCAGTATCAGACTGGTATAGTAATGAGCATAGAGCTCAGTATCAGACTGGTATACTAATGAGCATAGAGCTCAGTATCAGACTGGTATACTAATGAGCATAGAGCTCAGTATCAGACTGGTATAGTAATGAGCATAGACTCAGTATCAGACTGGTATATAATGAGCATAGAGCTCAGTATCAGACTGGTATAGTAATGAGCATAGAGCTCAGTATCAGACTGGTATAGTAATGAGCATAGAGCTCAGTATCAGACTGGTATAGTAATGAGCATAGAGCTCAGTATCGACTGGTATAGTAATGAGCATAGAGCTCAGTATCAGACTGGTATAGTAATGAGCATAGAGCTCAGTATCAGACTGGTATAGTAATGAGCATAGAGCTCAGTTCAGACTGGTATAGTAATGAGCATATACCTCAGTATCAGACTGGTATAGTAATGAGCATAGAGCTCAGTATCAGACTGGTATACTAATGAGCATAGAGCTCAGTATCAGACTGGTATAGTAATGAGCATAGAGCTCAGTATCAGACTGGTATAGTAATGAGCATAGAGCTCAGTATCAGACTGGTATAGTAATGAGCATAGAGCTCAGTATCAGACTGGTATACTAATGAGCATAGAGCTCAGTATCAGACTGGTATAGTAATGAGCATAGAGCTCAGTATCAGACTGGTATACTAATGAGCATAGAGCTCAGTATCAGACTGGTATACTAATGAGCATAGAGCTCAGTATCAGACTGGTATAGTAATGAGCATAGACCTCAGTATCAGACTGGTATACTAATGAGCATAGAGCTCAGTATCAGACTGGTATACTAATGAGCATAGAGCTCAGTATCAGACTGGTATAGTAATGAGCATAGAGCTCAGTATCAGACTGGTATAGTAATGAGCATAGAGCTCAGTATCAGACTGGATATAGTAATGAGCATAGAGCTCAGTATCAGACTGGTATAGTAATGAGCATAGAGCTCAGTATCAGACTGGTATAGTAATGAGCATAGAGCTCAGTTTCAGACTGGTATAGTAATGAGCATAGACCTCAGTATCAGACTGGTATAGTAATGAGCATAGAGCTCAGTATCAGACTGGTATACTAATGAGCATAGAGCTCAGTATCAGACTGGTATAGTAATGAGCATAGACTCAGTATCAGACTGGTATACTAATGAGCATAGAGCTCAGTATCAGACTGGTATACTAATGAGCATAGAGCTCAGTATCAGACTGGTATAGTAATGAGCATAGAGCTCAGTATCAGACTGGTATAGTAATGAGCATAGAGCTCAGTATCAGACTGGTATAGTAATGAGCATAGAGCTCAGTTCAGACTGGTATAGTAATGAGCATAGAGCTCAGTATCAGACTGGTATAGTAATGAGCATAGAGCTCAGTATCAGACTGGTATACTAATGAGCATAGAGCTCAGTATCAGACTGGTATAGTAATGAGCATAGAGCTCAGTATCAGACTGGTATAGTAATGAGCATAGAGCTCAGTATCAGACTGGGATAGTAATGAGCATAGAGCTCAGTATCAGACTGGTTATAGTAATGAGCATAGAGCTCAGTATCAGACTGGTATAGTAATGAGCATAGAGCTCAGTATCAGACTGGTATAGTAATGAGCATAGAGCTCAGTATCAGACTGGTATATAGTAATGAGCATAGAGCTCAGTATCAGACTGGTATATAATGAGCATAGAGCTCAGTATCAGACTGGTATAGTAATGAGCATAGAGCTCAGTATCAGACTGGTATAGTAATGAGCATAGAGCTCAGTATCAGACTGGTATACTAATGAGCATAGAGCTCAGTATCAGACTGGTATACTAATGAGCATAGAGCTCAGTATCAGACTGGTATAGTAATGAGCATAGAGCTCAGTATCAGACTGGTATAGTAATGAGCATAGAGCTCAGTATCAGACTGGTATAGTAATGAGCATAGAGCTCAGTATCAGACTGGTATAGTAATGAGAAATCGATCCTGTGCTGCACGCGTTCACCCTGGCACGCTCACATGCAGAGGTACGGTAAGGACAAACGTGTGTGCAACAGATGCATCTATATGTGATCACACTGTATTGGAGTTGTTGTTGTTGTTGTAGTAAAGCACTACAAAGAGAGATAATGTGGTGATGTGCGTGTTCATATTTGCCTTTGCTCACTCCGTATTGGGCTCATGTAGTATTGATAGGCCACTTCTATTATAGATTACATCATCTCTTCAAGCATAGTAAGTGGAGCACATTCAGGAAAATGAAATGGTATTCCTCAGTAGCAGACTAGTCAGGCGACATATGTAGATCAGCATAATAGCGTTAGCTATAATGTTTGCGCTCATACCAAGACCATCGAATGTTTGATGAAATCAACCTGGACAATATATGCGTCAAATCACTGTATTACATGTTCCTATCACCATCAGAACTATCATGTCTATCAACAACCTATCATGGTCTATCAATTATCAGAACATATGTTCTCAGAAACCTATCATGTTCCTATCAATTATCAGAATCCCATCATGTTCCTATAATATTCCTATCAGGAACCTATCATGTTCCTATAGGACTATCATAGTTACTATCATAGAACCTATCATGGTCTATAATCACAGGACATCAGAACCTATCATGTTCTAATCAATCGTTGTTCTACAATCTATCAGACCATATGTTCATCAGGACTATCATGTATCATCAATTATCAGAAACCTATCATGTTTCAATATATCAGAAACCTATCATGTTCCTATCAATATAATCAGAAACCTATCATGTTCCTATCAATATATCAGAAACCTATCATGTTCCTATCAATATATCAGAAACCTATCATGTTCCTATCAATATATCAGAAACCTATCATGTTCCTATCAATATATCAGAAACCTATCATGTTCCTATCAATATATCAGAAACCTATCATGTTCCTATCAATATATCAGAAACCTATCATGTTCCTATCAATATATCAGAAACCTATCATGTTCCTATCAATATATCAGAAACCTATCATGTTCCTATGTGAAGTAAGTGTCATACAGTGTAACACTGCATTGGGTCGTCAATCGTCTATTCAAAGCACATCTCTGTACTGACTCTGGTGTGTACATCTGTCTGCCAGTGTTCATCAGGATCTCTTGGGTAGCTCATTACACCAAATTAGAGAAAGCAGAAAAGTAAAAGGCATCTACTGTAATGACAGAGGAGAGGAGATGAGGGTAAGGGAGAAATTCAAACTGTTTCTCACCAGCGTCATGTAGAGCTGTCCTCCCCTGCAAGTCCACATTCCCCACAGGACAGTTGTGCTGCAAAACCACACAAAATCATCTTAAAATGTCATACGCCTCTTAAAAACCTATGAACCACTCACCCTGACAAAACTCTTCTTACATTTCCACCTGCATTCCTCAAAAGAACTCTCTGGGGGCACAATCACTTCGGTCTATTTCTATACAACGGGGTGGCAGCATTCAGGGGAGAAATGATTTGGTATAGCTTAGCTATACAACGAGACGGAAGCATCGTCCTTTCACAATGTGGCACTTGTTTCAATCCCGTCTGAGGCCTGACTTTGAGATGCGTCAAAGTGACAGAATCTTCCCGGCGTCTGCGTCTCCAATTGGAGAAGTCTCTGCAGCAGGGACACGTAAAGCTATCAACGTAGTGTTCCACCGTGATATCATCTCACACAGACAGAGACAGTCAGTCAGTCAGTCGCTGACAATACTGCTGTAGCATTGATAGCTATGAGAGCTGTTTTCAAGGCTCAATGCCAACAGCAGGCCTTTAAGGTCTACTAGCTCAGACCTTCTCAGGGGCCAATAGAAACACCCTGCTCTCTCTAGCAACAAGGTCCCAAAACGAGTAGCCAGGTCAGATAACAGCTAAGGAGGGGTTGGGGGGGGCAGGGAATCCTATACCTCTAGTGGGGGTCAGGAGCCAAGTAGGATTTTCCCCTCGGCCCGGGCGTTGGGTTGCTATGTCGAGCGCGATGACGGCAGAAAAAAATGGACGGCATGGTTTGCGAGAGGGCAGCCTTGTCAACACGACCAACACCCCCGCTGGTAAGCTGCCATTCCTTTCAGGGGGGCTACACGCTAGCGGCACTTAATGTGGCCGGTGGCTGGTTTGAACACAGGGCCTTATTGTAAAACACACAAATTAATTTGGGCCATTGCAACTCAACAGGCTGCTACTGTTGCCTTATCAGGGGCTACTGTTGGCGTTTTAAGAGAGGCAGATTAAAAATAAGCGGGTAGTGCGATGCCAAACAAAAACTGCGTTCTCAAACAACCATACACCCTACAATGGCACAATTTAGTCTTACTGTAAACAGATGAAATATATTTCAAACACGTTTCAATATCACTGCAGCTGTTGTCTGGCGAGTAAAGCAACAAAATGTAATTCCTCAAAGAACTGAGAGAAAAGTATTGGTAATACACCTTGAACATTATGGACCGGTTTCCAAGACATGTACACTACATGGCCAAAAGTATGTGGACGCCTGCTTGTCAAACATCTCACTCCAAAATCATGGGCATTAATATGGAGTTGGTCCCTCCTTTGCTGCTATAACAGCCTCCACTCTTCTGGGAAGGCTTTCCACTAGATGTTGGAACATTGCTGTGGGCACTTGCTTCCATTCAGCCACAAGAACATTAGTGAGGTCGGGCACTGAAAGTTGGCATCCTATGACGGTGCCACATTGAATGTCACCGAGCTCTTCAGTACGGGAAATTCTACTGCCAATGTTTGTCTATGGAGATTGCATGGCTGTGCGCTCTATTTTATACACCTGTCAGCAACGGGTGTGGCTGAAATTGCTGAATCCACTAATTTGGAAGGGTGTCCACATACTTTTAGTCATGTAGTGTATCGTAATTAATCGTAACAGATCTTAACTTCCAATGGTGAATGTCCATTGTGTATGCTTTTTAGTCCAGGACTAGGCTTAATCTGTGTCCCCAAAACCACCTCTGACACCTGGCAACTAAGCCTCGAAGTACATGTTGCAGCACATTTAGTTCAGATATACATTTCATAATGCACAGATCACGCAGGTAAGTTAATGCGAACGGAGGCAGTTGTTTTAAGGGACTGTACCTGCAATAGCTTCTGCACACAAAGCGACTGGCCATTTCTGGAAGCTAGATGAAGGGCATTTTTACCTGTAAGAAAAAGTCTCAAGAGGTCAGAGGTCAGCTCATGCACAAACTCAATATCTTCCATAATATACACTGAACAAAAATATAAAAGTGGCTAAATTGCAGCATGTTAAAGGGATACTTTGGGATTTTGGCATTTATCTACTTCCCCAGAGTCAGATGAACTATTGGATACAATGTTTATGTCTGTGTCCATTATGAAGGAAGTTAAGAGGTAGTTTTGCAAGACTCCTAACTAGCGTTAGCGCAATGCTGACAGAGAAATAAACATGGTATCCACAAGTTCATCTGACTCTGGGGAAGTACACTGAACTAAAATATAAACGCAACATGTAAAGTGTTGGTCCCATGTTTCATGAGCTGAAATAAAAAGATCCCAGAAATGTTCCATACACACAAAAAGCTTATTTCTGTCAATTTTGGGGTACAAATGTGTTTACATCCCTGTTAGTGAGCATTTATCCTTTGCCAAAATAATCCATCCACCTGACAGGTATGACATATCAAGAAGCTGATTAAAGAGCATGATCATTACACAGGTGCACCTTGTGCTGGGAACAGTAAAAGGCCACTAAAATGTACAGTTTTGTCACATAACACAGATGTCTGAAGTTGAGGGAGCGTGCAATTGGCACGCTGACTGCAGGAATGTCCACCAGAGCTGTTGCCAGAGAACTTAATGTTAATTTTCTCTAAGCCGCTTCCAACATCATTTTAGAGAAATTGGCAGTACGTTCTACCGGTCTCACAACCACAGACCACGCATATGGCGTTGTGTGGGCGAGCAGTTTGCAGATGTCAATGTTGTGAACAGAGTGCCCCATGGTGGCGGTGGAGTTATGGTATGGGCAGGCATAAGTTACAGGCAACGGACACAACTGCATTTTATCGATGGCAATTTGAATGCACAAAAATACAGTGACGAGATCCTGAGGCCCATTTTTTAAGGTATCGGTGACCAACAGATGCATATCTGTATTCTCAGTCATGTGAAATCCAACGATTAGGGCCTAATATACTAATTTCGATTGACTGATTTCCTCATATGAACTGTAACTCAGTAAAAATCAATGAAATTGTTTGAAACTTTCATATCCCACAGGATGCTTGCATAATGTGGTTCTTTTAAAAACATCCAACACATATTTTTTTTAAAAATTAAATCCTACAAAAAAAAGTATATAATCTATTCAACATGTCCATGGTTAATTCAGTTCACTCTAGTTCATTATTCACAGCTAATAGGAGGCTGTTGCTGCATGCGTCATCCAATTATCCTTTCCATAATGAATAAATGCATCTCCTTCAGTGAAATGATTAAGAACAATTCTCTGTATTTCATATGGTGAGACTTCCTCTCCACCTCACCCTAGCATTGGTCCTAGCAGTGTGGACCAATACTAAAACCATCCCTTAGAAAGATTTCACCAAAGATGGGCTTGGTGGAAACAAATCAGGCTATTGATTTAATGCTCTCCTATGGACTGTTCTGTACCACACTATGTATAGGTGCTTGCAACACCAGGGTTGTGGGTTCGATTCCTACGGGGGATCAGCACGAAAATGTGTGCACTCACTACTGCAAGTGGCTCTGGATAAGAGCGTCTGCTAAAATGACTAACATGTAAATGTATAACCATGAACCACATCTGACTTTCTCTCACCGGTGGCATCGGTGGCTGTGAGGTCAACGCTGTGGCCCAGGATGAGATTGAGACAGTCCAGGTGGCCCCTGGTCGCGGAGAGGTGGAACCTGCGGTGAGAGATGACGAGAGCGTGAGAAGGGAGGGAAAGCCAAGTAGGTCGGAGTACGAGCAGGTTTGGAGAGGCTTTGAGAAGGCCGAAGTGAAAGAGTGATAGGGTAAGGGGAGGTGAAATATGGAGCCAGAGAAAATAACTCTGTAAATTGATGCTGGCTAACCCTATCAGTTAGATCAGCATTCTGGGGGCAGAAACCTTAGCCACCCGTAACAACCCTGAGGCAGCAGGACTACAAGCTCTTCAACAGCATTTTCACATTAGACACAAGATGGGATCCAACAACCCATAAGGGCTGTTAATGCAGCAAAGCTATCAAACACCAGTCATGATAATCATGAGAAATATCATATCTACACTACTGCAAACATGACCAACACCACCATTTAACCCTCTTTCTCCCGTTTACCCCCCCTTCCTTTAGTTTACTGTCTCTTAATTCTTCAACAAATATGTCCCTTAACGAACATCCCTGGGTTTGTTTAAACAACCTAAACCCTGGATTAGTTGGTCACTTGATAGCCACAACTCCCCTAGCTGTAAAACATTCATATACATTACTCTAACACTTATTTGACCTTGTCCCTGTTCCTGACCCACATCTGGCAGCGTTCCTGGCCATGCCCCGGCCCCTCACATACGGGCAAAACGTCTGTTTGTAAACCAATAAGGATCACGGCCCGCAACTTGTTTATGCATTAACCCTGAAAGATCTTCCAAGGATACAGGAAGCCTGACACCTGGTTTCAGGCGCTGTTATTAAAAGCTGTGTTGATGGTGCTTGAGAAGCTCAGAGTCTGCAGCCGGAGACCTTGACCCCGGGGAATGTTGACCATATGACTGCAGAACTGTGGATAACCGGTGACACGCCAACTAAGTACAACATTAGTCTTGATGGACAAAGGGATTCAGGAATCTGTTTCAAGAACTAAACTGTTGCCATGTTACAACAATGCTATTGGGATCTAGAAGTGATGCTTTGGGAGGGCGGTGTTTTGGTCTTTGAGAATCAGAGGTTTCAGTATGTACTGTATGGTGAGAAGAGGTTTCAGTATGTACTGTACGGTGAGAATCAGAGATTTCAGTATGTACTGTACGGTGAGAATCAGAGGTTTCAGTATGTACTGTACGGTGAGAATCAGAGATTTCTGTATGTACTGTATGGTGAGAATCAGAGGTTTCAGTATGTACTGTACAGTGAGAATCAGAGGTTTCAGTATGTACTGTACGGTGAGAATCAGAGGTTTCAGTATGTACTGTACAGTGAGAATCAGAGGTTTCAGTATGTACTGTACGGTGAGAATCAGAGGTTTCAGTATGTACTGTACGGTGAGAATCAGAGATTTATGTATGTACTGTACGGTGAGAATCAGAGGTTTCAGTATGTACTGTACGGTGAGAATCAGAGGTTTCAGTATGTACTGTACGGTGAGAATCAGAGGTTTCTGTATGTACTGTACGGTGAGAATCAGAGGTTTCAGTATGTACTGTACGGTGAGAATCAGAGGTTTCAGTATGTACTGTACGGTGAGAATCAGAGGTTTCAGTATGTACTGTACGGTGAGAATCAGAGGTTTCAGTATGTACTGTATGGTGAGAATCAGAGGTTTCAGTATGTACTGTACAGTGAGAATCAGAGGTTTCAGTATGTACTGTATGGTGAGAATCAGAGGTTTCAGTATGTATTGTACGGTGAGAATCAGAGGTTTCAGTATGTACTGTATGGTGGTTTTGCATTAGGTGGACATGATGATAAATGATGCCAAAAATAACTTTATACGTTTAAACTAGCAAAAGTAGATCATAGAATGGCTATGTAACACAGTTCCACATGGTCATAGCCTCTATTGCCTACTGTATACACTTTATGCATGATCACTGTTTGGTTAACTGGCCTTCCACATGGTCGTAGCCTCTATTGCCTACTGTATACACTTTATGCATGATCACTGTTTGTGTAACTGGGCTTCTAGAACTCTCCTCTGAGTGTTGCTCAATTGTATCAATCCTCCTCACATTAAGCAGTGTGCATAATTACAGTGCCTTGCAAAAGTATTCATCCCCCTTGGCATTTTTCCTATTTTGTTGCATTACAACCTGTAATTTAAATGGAATTTTTATTTAGATTTCATATAATGGACATACACAAAATAGTCAAAATTGGTGAAGTGAAATTTAAAAAATAACTTGTTTAAAAAAATTACGGAAAAGTGGTGCGTGCATATGTATTCACCCCCTTTGCTATGAAGCCCCTAAATAAGATCTGGTGCAACCAATTACCTTCAGAAGTCACATAATTAGTTAAATAAAGTACACCTGTGTGCAATCTGTGTCACATGATCTGTCACATGATCTCAGTATATATATACACACACCTGTTCTGAAAGGCCCCAGAGTCTGCAACACCACTAAGCAAGGGGCACCACCAAGCAAGCGGCACCATGAAGACCAATGAGCTCTCCAAACAGGTCAGGGACAAAATTGTGGAGAAGTACAGATCAGGATTGAGTTTTTAAAAAATATCCCAAACTTTGAACATCCCACGGAGCACCATTAAATCCATTATTAAAAAATGGAAAGAATATGGCATCACAACAAACCTGCCAAGAGAGGGCCGCCCACCAAAACTCATGGACCAGGCAAGGAGGGCATTAATCAGAGAGGCAACAAAGAGACCAAAGATAACCCTGAAGGAGCTGCAAAGCTCCACAGCGGAGATTGGAGTATCTGTCCATAGGACCACTTTAAGCCGTACACTCCACAGAGCTGGGCATTACAGAAGAGTGGCCAGAAAAAAGCCATTGCTTAAAGAAAAAAATAAGCAAACACGTTTGGTGTTCGCCAAAAGCCATGTGGGAGACTCCCCAAACATATGGAAGAAGGTATTCTGTTCAGATGAGACTAAAATTGAGCTTTTTGGTCATCAAGGAAAACGCTATGTCTGGCGCAAACCCAACACCTCTCATCACCCCGAGAACACCATCCCATCACCAGTGAAGCATGGTGGTGGCAGCATCATGCTGTGGGGGATGTTTTTCCATCGGCAGGGACTGGGAAACTGGTCAGAATTGAAGGAATGATGGATGGCGCTAAATACAGGGAAATTCTTGAGGGAAACCTGTTTCAGTCTTCCAGAGATTTGAGACCGGGACGAAGGTTCACCTTCCAGCAGGACAATGACCCTAAACATACTGCTAAAGCAACACTCAAGTGGTTTAAGGGGAAACATTTAAATGTCTTGGAATGGCCTAGTCAAAGCCCAGACTTCAATTAAATCGAGAATCTGTGGTATGACTTAAAGATTATTGTACACCAGCGGAACCCATCGAACTTGAAGGAGCTGGAGCAGTTTTGCCTTGAAGATTGGGCATAAATCCCAGTGGCTAGATGTGCCAAGCTTATAGAGACATACCCCAAGAGATTTGCAGCTGTAATTGTTGCAAAAGGTGTCTCTACAAAGTATTGACTTTGGGGGGGGTGAATAGTTATGCACGCTCAAGTTCTGTTTTTTGTCTTATTTCTTGTTTGTTTCACAATAAAAAATATTTTGCATCTTCAAAGTGGTAGGCATGTTGTGTAAATCAAATAATACAAACCCCCAAAACAATCCATTTTAATTCCAGGTTGTGAGGCAACAAAATAGGAAAAATGCCAAGGGGGGTGAATATTTTCGAAAGTCACTGTACCTATTCAAACCCATCCGTGATTCTGTGATTGCTCAAAATATAACTGACAGGCTGACATCTTCTGTAATTATGTGGACTGGAGAATGAAGGTGAAGGGGGTCAACATAACTGCAGACTTAACAAACATAATGACATGAAAGGTGCCAAGTGTCAAACCAGTCTAACGGGAGAAATGGCACCGGAAGTCAAATAATAGAACCTCACAAATGCGCAGAAGAAGAAGGTGTAATTCTAAGGGAGGCTCACCTTTAATTTGACCTGCAGTGGAAATGTGACTGCTTTTTGTTTAGATTGATATAATGATAGGTCTCGCTCTTTTCCTACGTCTCCTTGTTGCTCTCTGTCCCTCCCTCTCTCTCGCTCTTTCTTTGTCCAGCGTAATTACATGGATTTAGATTTGATCGAGAGAAAACGTCTCGTCTGTGTGTGTGTGTGTGGCCAGGGGGGACATTAACTGAGTGCGAGACACTAGACACTGGGTCATTAACGAGAGCACAGACATGTCATTTAACCTTGGCACCAGACAGCTCCTTGAGTGGCTTTCAGCTCTGCCCGTCCAGCCTACACAGGATACGGAGGCTATATTTAGAGTAGAGAGAGTAGAGGATCATGTTGGGGTGGTATAGGAGCTGTTTCTCAATCCATTCCTGCACATTTTGGTTTTAGCCCAGCTGATTCATTGAGGCCTAATGAAGGTCTTGGTGATTAGGTGACTAGTGGAATCAGGTGTGTTAGTGCTGGGCTAGAATAAACATGCACACCATGAGCCCCTCCAGGAATGGATTGAGAAACACTGCCCAATGGTATATACAGTTGAAGTCGGAAGTTTACATACACTTAGGTTGTAAACGTCTGACCCCGCTGGGAATGTGATGAAAGAAATAAAAAGCTTAAATAAATCACTCTCTACTATTATTCTGACATGTCACATTCTTAAAATAAAGTGGTGATCCTAACTGACCTAAAACTAGGATTAAATGTTAGGAATTGTGAAAAACTGAGTTTAAATGTATTTGGCTAAGGTGTATGTAAACTTCCGACTTCAACTGTAAAACTACGTGAATCAATATCCCACCTCCATACAATCAAGGAACCACAGAACTCCAGCTGGAGTTGATGCACTTTCCGGTGCGCCAATACTTAAATCAGCTATCTCAAGTGCAAATGAGTGGGGGCAGTAGTTAAGGCTAGCCCGCCTCATCAGCGTGTGCAATGTGGAGATACAGCCACACTGTTTGTTCAGCTGGGGATCTCTGCACACTCGTTAGAGGTGATATCATTACATCAACACTGGGGAGCTTAATCCAGGAAACTA